GCACCCCTCTGTGTCCCTGTCACCCCCTCTGTGTCCCCGCACCCGCGCTGTTCCCGCGGGGTTGGGCGAGGCCGCGTCACCGCCGCGCTGAGCGGCGAGAGGCAAACAATAAACGTCTTGTATGAGCGATTGCAAAGAAAATGGAAAGTCGTTTGGTCTCAGTCTGATGCTTAATGGGTCTGAGAAGTGATCTAATTGCTTGGCTGCCTCGTCACGAGCATCCATAACTCAGGTAGCGGGGCTGCCAGCGCTCGCCTCGCTGGGAACGTGCGGAGGTCCCTAATTTGCTCCCGGGTGGCGCTGGCGGCTGCTCAGCACGTCCTGACCCTCTGTTCCAGCACGATTTGAGTGTCCAGGAGCTGYTGGTGACAGCCCAGGTCCCTCCGGAGCTGTGAGCAGCACAGGCGCGGGGAGAAGCCGGCACAAGGAGCTCCCTGAGGAACCAAGGAGACACGGTCAGGGGGAGAATCCGCTCCTGTGGAGCATCCCAAGTGCCACCAGGTGTCCCCAGCTCTGTCACCAACAAATGAGCAAAACCTGAGCCGCGGGAGAGAAGAAGGAAGTCCTTGACTGTGCAGCTGCTCTGAGCAGGGCTGARRGATTACACCAAAATCCCCGAGCAAYCCCGGGCAGAATTCTGCCCATGACCTTGGGGCTCAGGCCAAACCCAGGTCCCGGATTTCATCCCAGGGAGCCAGCTGCTGCCGAGCAGCTCTGACATCTGCAGGTGTCACCAGGCAAAACCCTCTCAGTGTCACCAAGGGAGCACGCTGTGCCATGGCCGGAATGTCCACACAGAGGAGGGAGCAGGGAGAGGTGCCAGATGTGGTGTTCCCAGGGCTGCCAGACCCCCTTCACATCCCCACAGCTCCCACGGGGATGTGAGCACGTTTTAAGGGCAGTTCAGGGCTGCCAGAGCCCCCTCACCCCCCCACAGCTCCTATGGGGATGTGAGCACGTTTTAAGGGCAGTTCAGGGCTGCCAGAGCCCCCTCACACCCCCACAGCTCCCATGGGGATGTGAGCATGTTTTAAGGGCAGTTCAGGGCTGCCAGACCCCCTTCACACCCCTGCAGCTCCCATGGGGATGTGAGCACGTTTTAAGGGCAGTTCCCTTCCTCCCCGTTCAAGGCTGCACTGACAGCACCGTTAAAGCACTGGGAACACGGTGCAGCAGAGCTCCCCATGCCATCCCAAGGGACACCAAGCACTCTTGGGGACACCACGCGTTTCTGACGAGTCCCCTGAGATATTTATCTCCCTGAGAAGGGAGATTCAAACACAGTGAGGGATGTGTGAAACACACCCAGCCCCAACTGCTGCACTAAACCAGCGCCCTGGGGCCAGCCAGCAGTGCTTGTCCCTGCTCGGGGTGTCCAGGCAGGTGACCGGGGTGCACCCAACGCCTTGGCCAGGACAGCAGCGTCTCAGGGCTGCTGGCACCTCCCACAGCCACGCCTGTACCTACAGGACACCTCTCCAAATTCAATTATTGCCTACGTAAGTGCTATTTAACCAGGTGAGATCCACACCTACTGATGGCTGCACTGCTTCTGCTGCCTGTGGGGATCTGCAGGCAGGACGGACAAACCTCCACATTCCCCAGGTTGCCACAACCCACGCTGGTTTTCCTGCAGCTGCTTGGAAACCTCCAGGCTCCCCGTGCCACCCACCCTCTGCCAGTGCCATCCCCACCAGGTGCCCCAGGAGGGAATTTAATCTGCCTGTGGAGGCAGGGGCACAGAGCAGGGCAGGGTCCCTCCCTCGGTGCAGGCTTTAAGGTGATGATGGGTTTATCCAAACCCATTCCTGCTTCTCACGTGTCCCTGTCTCCATCCAGCCGTTCATTGCCATCAGCCAATCTCCAGCCCCGTGCTCTGACGCATTCTGCCCTGCCATCCCAAGCCAGGAAGCTTTCAGCCAGCCAGGAGCTGACAGCAGTCTGATTTACTCACCTGGGGTAAATGCAACACGAGGATTTGGGGTGTTTCCCTCCAGGTTCTCCGTCAGCAGCGAGGCTGGACCGTACAGGGTCATTGTTGGGCTGGAGCAGCACCCAGGCAGCGTTTGCCAGAGGGTGACAATGACAAAGAGCCACCACTGCCACCCATGGCTTCACTGCTCTGTCCCCCTGTGCCTCCTCCTTAGGAACAGAACAGGCAGACACAGCCCATTGGAGTTCAGTGCTGGAGACCCAAAATCCCCCAAGCTTGGCAGAGGGGAGCTCCACCGCATCACCAGGCTCACAAAGGGTTTTTAGCTGAYAAAGCAGCCCAAAACCAAGCAGTAACAAATGAACTCAAAAGCTTAAATGCACATTTGTTGCYCTGGGGAGCAGCTGGGGGCTGGCACTGCCCTGCCCTTTGCTCCAAGCCRGTGGCCAGCTGACCAAGGATGCTCATGCTCCCACTGGGCTGAASTTATTCACCCTGGGCTGGTGTGCTCCAGGCCCTCTGCTCCAGCCCTGTTACACAACCRCTGTTATGAAGAAAATTCAATTACAGAAGTTATTTGCAAGCAGAAGTGCACCAGTGCACGTTGGAGGAATGCAAACTGCAATGGCCAGAGGTTCCTGGCTGGCCTGGAGTGAGCAGATCACCCCRGGGGGATTTGCTGCTCTTCAAGCAGAGGAATTTCCAGGACATGAAAAGTCAAGGAGGTTTCATAGAGTAAAATATCTTAATATTTATTGTGTCTCAAGACAAAAGAATTCTACTCAATACATAAAATGAGTTGAAGCAGCATATAATACTGACAATCAAGTCACAGCTGAGTCGGTGCAAGGACACCTACCAAGGTAAAGGCACCAGGAGCTACATCACCAAACCCTGCTACAGCTTACAGAGAACCACTACAGCCTGCACTTACAGAAGTACAACTATTAAAAAGTATATAAAACCCAGGGGAGGGATGAGAGGGAGCTTGGCAACAACCTTGCTGAGCCAAGGCTTCAGGCAGGCAGGACTGTGTTTTAACAGCCCCATCTCAAGAACAACCRTGTCTGGAGAGCCAGGGGACGTCAAGGGAAGGGGAAGCATTGCTTTCCCAATGGAGGCACTGGAGATGAGCACTGGGACAGCCGGGAGGCCRCCAGCATGGTCAGTTCAGCACAGTGTGGCACTCGGGGACAGAGCTGGGGGCTGCAGTGGCCAGAGGCTGCAGCCACCACWGCCACAGCAATTCTCCCAGGCATTGGCACAGCAGAGCAGCATCAGGACAGTCCCTGAGCGCACAGGACAGCTGCTGCACTCGTTTCTATCAGCTACTTGAGAAGAAGATCAGTCAGTTCAAAGCAGATTTCACGATGCGGCAYCCAGAGGAAAAGGGGAGGTGGAGGAATCCTCCCCAGCCGTTCCCATCCCTGCAATGCACAGAGCAGAGTGTTCACAGACAGCAGGGATTCATACACAGATTAAAATGACATAGCACACACAGCATTGCAGGTGCCCTCTAACCCCACACCCCCACATTTGGCACTTCCACCCAGGGGTGACCAGGAGCTGCCACCAAACTCACAGACATACCCAGCCACAGGCACAGCAGGCTGGGGCCAGCTACACCATCTCATACTGATTGTTGGTGATGTACCGGGACAGGCAGCAGGAGAGAATTATGCCAATCAACTGAAAAAGAAGAAATAAAAAAACATATCTGAGGCAGCCAAAAGCAGGGAGAGGTGTTTTCAGGAGAAAACCTGACAAATTGATCCAGGGTTTTGTGAAATCCGAGGGTGGACAGTGAGGTTTACAAACCACAAGGGCTGGTGCTCCCTGCTTCAGAATCACTGAAAGCTGCTGAAGCAGAGGATCCTGGCAGGCACCAGCCAAACAAGCTCCTCACAAGAGATGCTCCACGTCCTGTCCTGTTACATTTTGTTTCATGAAGCATCCAGTGTTTTATGGTAATTGCAGAGATTACACAGATATCAGGAGCGTCACAGCCAATTACACAGCCACTGGAGAACGGCAGCACCTCTCCCTTCGCAAGGACAGCGGGGAAGCAGGGCTGCTGTTCCCACAACAGGAAGGTGCT